GACGGGGCGGAGGGGGGGTGAGGAAACTACCAACTTGCTGAGCGCGCTCCTGATAATGCTGGTGAGGGTCAAGTTGGCGTCTGGCTCAAAGAAGGGCGCTCGGGGCGGGAAGGGGAGGAGGGGACGTTTGTTCGTTGGCATTGACCTCTGCGGGGGAGGGCCGGGGACCCCCTCGCCACGCCCCTGTGCCCGGACGGGGAGGGGACGCTGGGCCCCAGGGAGACCCGCGGCCGGAGCAGCCCAGCCGCCGGGCGCACGCCGCTGTCCCGTGTTCCGTTAAACTCAACACAGAAGGGATAAGCGTGTTCCTAACAAGTGCGGGATATTGAATTGATTCATAAACTTATGTATAATAGTTTGTGGGTTTCTTTTTAAAACGTACTTTATAATGTAAGAAGCACCAGGGTTTTTATGTTTAATTATCTTAAAAATAATTTTCTCTCGTCCTTTTCCTTTCTGATCTTTGCGTTATGATTTTTTTTTTAAACGTCAAGGTGTGTTTGTTTTTTGAAACTCTAAAATGTGAACGTTTCCTTCAGCCCTCCCACCGAAACCGAGAACGAACGACGGAACAAATATAAAAACCCCAGATCATCCTCGTCAACGCAGGAAAACGATTTAAAAAAAAAAAAGGAAAAGAAAAAAACTGAAAGGAACAAAAAAAAAATTAAAAAAAAAAAAAAAGGAAAAAAACAAAACTCAGCTTTCGTTATCCCCGCTCAGGGCGGGGCAGGCCCGGTTCTTTTAGCGTCCCCAGAGCCTCGAGGACATAACAACAAAAATAGAATTTTTTTTTAACAATCTCTTAACATACAAAGATAGGAAAACTCTCTGATGCATTGCACTTGGTTCAATGAAAAAAAAAAAAAGTTCATTTCCCCCATATATATTTTGTGTGGGTTCTTTATTTTTTCCTCTCCTAACACGTCCCCACATCTCCTGTCGCCCTCATCGCCCCTGCCTGGCCCTCGCGACCCTCCGCCCTGCCCGCCGGTCAGCCCGCCCGGCGCGCTCCGCCCGGGCCCAGCTGGCC